GCCCCGTGAGGGGCCTGGAGAAGGGTCCCGGGGTCAGCAACCCCCCCCCCCCCCGCCCCAGGGACCCCCAGTGAGGCAAAGCATTCTGGGTGGGTGGCCACGAGGCGAGCTTCTCCTGGTTTCTGGAAGCAGGGAGACCCAGATTGCCCCGGGCTCGGCCTAGCGATGACACCGGAGAGGCTGGGAGCGGGGTGGTGGCGCTGGCCTGCGTTCTGGGTCTTCGGGGCGGCACACTGCGCACGAGGCACGGGCAGTACAGGTGTTGGGGGCCGCGTCCTTGGGCGGCCACTGTGTCTTTCCGGATGGGCACTGCCCTCTGGGGTTGTAAGGGGGTGGCCCTGCGAGGTGTATGCCCGGGCTGCTCCCGTGATAGCCAGGGCGGTGAGCGGAGGAGAGCTTGGTGCTGGTCCGCCTCCCGGGCCCCGAAGAAGCTCCCAGAATGGGGCCTACTCGGCCCCCGAGCTGTGCCTCCAGCCCAGCCCCCTCTCTCCTCAGGAGTTCGAGGGCAACATGGACAATGACAGCCTGAAGATCAACATGTTCAAGACCCCGCTGGAGACGCAGTTTGTGCGCCTCTTTCCTGTGGCCTGCCGCCGTGGCTGCACCCTCCGCTTCGAGCTCCTGGGCTGCGAGTTGAATGGTGAGAATGGGCACGCCTCTCTGAGCCTCGCCTCCACCACGCGTGGTGCCCGGGGGTCCTGAGCCAATCAGGATGTGCGCACACACACACACACATGCACACATGCACACACATGCATGCACACACACATGCACACACGCGCACGCACATGCATGCACACACACATGCAAGCACACACACACACACACACACACACACACACACACACACACACACACACACACGCACACACACAGGGCAGCTTGCCCCTTTCCTGGGCAGTCTGCTTGGTGAAGGAGAGTTTTCTTTTTTCCTTTTTGTGCCTCTGCTGGGGCTCTTGACCTCAGGCTTCAAGCTTGCGTTTGGCTTTCTTGCGCATGGCTGGTACTCTACCACTTGAGCCATGCCTCTAGTCCAGCTTTTTTGCTGGTTTATTGGAGTTGACCTTGCAGAGTTTTCTGCCTGGACTGGCCTTGAACTGCAACCCTCCAGATCTCAGCCTTGAAGTAGCTAGGATTACAGGCGTGAGTCACCAAGCCTGGCTGGTTTTCCAAGTATTCTCCCTCCCCTCAGCTTGGTTCCTGGGGCGGCAGTTAGTTGTGTTTTTCCGAGGGTGAGCTTGCCAATGGCAGAGAACCCTTCTGTACTGTGCAGACGAGCCTGCAGGACTCACAGGTAAATCTTGGGCGAGAGCAGGTGGATGAGTGAGAGGTCCCAGGCTCCACGGCTGCGGCGTGAGGAGCGTGGGGTAGATCCTGAGCTCCGACCCCAGCACGCAGCCCAGTCAATACCAGCCTGGTGCGGCTCGGCCCTGGTTCTTCTTGCTGCCTCTGCAGACCAGGAAGGGACAGGTTTTTCTGCCTCACCAGGAGAGCTGTGCGTTGGGTGCTTGGCTGGGCCCAAGCCCTCTGGAACTTTTCCCCCTTGAACTGAGTTGTTTTTCCCTTGAAGCCACAGTGCCACCTGCTGGTCAGCACCAGGGACCGCAGCGTGTGCAGGGCTGGGTGAGTGCATGCACCTCATGGCTGTGGGCGTGGCCGTGGGCGTGGCTTAGGTCCAGTGTCCTAGAAATCCACTGGGGACCGATTAACTAGTTAACTGAAAGCCCGCTCCTTGGGACCCCTGACCTCCTGGGATTTGCATTCTGGTAAGGGAGGCCACTCCATCCAGATCAGGAGCAAACGGAAGGTCTGAGAGCTCTGCACCCAGCTCAGCACGGGCAGGGCATTGTTTTGTGGACTGGCCTTGGGGGGGAGCTTGGACGAAGCCCTGGGAAGTTATCAAACAGCCTGGAGAGCGCTTTCCAGGTGCAGAATCGGCAGGTGCAAAGGTCCTGGGACATGATGGAGGATGGAAGGAAGCTTGCTGGGGCCGGAGCCAAGCAGACAGCTCACCGAGGTGGGCCATGAGCTCTATGGGCCAGCAGTATAACGCCTTCCTAGAAAATCAGACTTCCAGCCGGGTGCTGGTGGCTCACGCCCGACATCCTAGCTACTCAGGAGGCTGAGCTCTGACGATGGAGGTTCGAAGCCAGCCTGGGCTGGACTTTCCAAAGTCCATGAGACTTGTCTCCAATAAACCACTCAGAAAAAGCCAGAACTGGCGCTGTGGCTCAAGTGGTAGAGTGCTCGCCTTGAACACAAGAAGGTCAGGGACCGGGCCCAGGCCCTGAGTTCAAGCCCCAGGACCAGCAAAGAAAACACAAAATCATACTTCCAGCCCTAGACGTCTAGAAGCAAGGCTGTTTGTTTCTGGAAGACCCCGGGGGACTGAGGCACCCATGGCCGGCTGTGCACACTCAGCTGGCACGGGGCAGAACTGGTGCAGACTGCAGGGAGCCCAGGCAATGGCCGATGAAAGGAGCTTGGCGGGGCGGGGCGGGGCAGGCTTTGGTCATGGCTGCAGAGAGGCTCTGCTTACACCGCAGGGGTCAGAGAACGCGGGGGGGAGGCATGTTGGGGGTTACGGTTTTTACACACCTGAGTGTAAGATCCTCTTTGGAATGTCTGTCCTGTCCTGTCTGGGATTTATGGTGTTGACAGTCCTGCGCTTTCAGATAAGGTCAGGGGTGAGGTTTTCTTGAGCATGGGTAGAGGGCTGTGGTGGGGGGGGGGGGTGTCTACAGGAGTATCCAGTGGTGGCTAGGTGCTCTGCCCCTTGGAGGCAATGAGGCGATGGCTGGAGCGGCTGCATCCTCCCACACTTGGGAGGCAGAGAGGCAGGTGACGGGCAGGAAGATAAAGCGTGGCGGATGGACACAGGCTTCTCCAGGCTCCGCCCCTCCACTCAACTCCCCAGGGGAGAAACAGTCCCATGAGTGAGACACACCCCTCACCTCCTGGGAGCATCACCTGTGTTGCGGCCACACAGGTGCAGATTCAGGAGCAAACAACACATTCCTGGGCACTCTTGGTGGGCCTGCGTAAAGCAGGCACCGCCTGCCCGGGAGCAGCCCTCTCGGTGTGGGTGACTGCACCCCAGAAACAAGCAAGAGCCTCTGCTAGCTACTAAGGAGGAGCCGCAGGCAAGCCTGTGTCTTAGTGAGACCTCCCCCCCCCCCCATCTCCAGAACAATCCCCAAGCCCGGCGCTGGTGGCTCACACCTACAATCCTAGCTGCTCAGGAGGCTGAGATCCAAGGCTTGTGGTTTAGAGTCAGCCTGGGCAGACAGATCTGCCAGACACTTATTTCCAGATAAGCTGCAAAAAGCCAGAACTGGAGGCGGGGCTGGCGTGGCAGAGCAGCAGCCAGGAGCAAAAGAGCCGAGGGCGGGAGGCCCCGAGTTCAAGCCTCCGCAGTCAACGAAGGTGTCAGGGCGGGGTGGGGGTGGGGAGCGGGGCCGGACGGTCTTTCTGGCAGCAGGGTGCTCGGGACCGCTGGGCCTGAAGGACGGCAGCATCCCGGACAGGCAGCTCACCGCCTCCAGCAGCTACAAGACGCTGGGCCTGCGCGCCTTCGGCTGGTACCCCTTCTACGCGCGGCTGGACCGGCAGGGCAAGATCAACGCCTGGACCGCCCAGGGCAACGGCGCCAACGAGTGGTTGCAGGTGGGTGGTGCTGGAGCCGGCCGGGCACGGGCCGGGCCTGGGGGGGGTAGGGGGGGTGCTGGAGCCGGCCGGGCACGGGCTGGGCCTGGGGGGGGCCGGGCAGGGGCCGGGCCTGGGGAGGGGCGGGGGGGCTGCTGGACCCCCGGAGCCCTCAGCAAGAGCCGTGTTCTCCGTGACTGTCTCCTCTTCCCACTTGCTCAGCTGTGTGCGCGTGCCGTGAACCCTGGGTCTGGGCGCTGTCCCTCAGCTCTTCAGCTCAAGGCTAGCGCTCTACCACTTGAGCCACAGCGCCACTTTCAGCTTTTTTCTTTTTGCTTATGTGGTGCTGAGGAATCAAACCCAGGGCCTTGTGCGTGCAGGGCTAGCACTCTGCCGCTGAGCCGCCTTCCCAGCGCCCCAGCCCTTGCGTTTTGCAGGCGAAGCCTCCCTGTGTGCACAGGCTGGTCTCTGGTCCGCGGTCCTCCTTCCCCAGCCTCTCCAGTGCTGGGATCGCAGCAGCTTTATACCCACTTTGCAGATGAGGAACACTGAGGCCCAGGGCGGCACCTCGGCTTCACACAGCGACCGACGGCGTGTCTGTTTCCCCCACAGGTGGACCTGGGCTCCCAGAAGCAGGTGACGGGCATCGTCACCCAGGGGGCCCGCGACTTTGGCCACATCCAGTACGTGGCCGCCTACAAGGTGGCCTACAGTGATGACGGCGAGGTCTGGACCGAGTACAGGGAGGCCGGGGCCACGGAGAGCAAGGTGGGCGTGTCAGGGTGCCCGGGGGCGGGGCCAGGGGCGCCCGGACTCGCCTGACACCACCCGTTCCCCCCCCCCTCCAGGTCTTCCCTGGCAACTTGGACAACTACTCCCACAAGAAGAACGTGTTGGAGACGCCCTTCACGGCCCGCTACGTACGGGTCCTGCCCGTGGCCTGGCATAACCGGATCACCCTGCGCCTGGAGCTGCTGGGCTGCTAGCGGCCGCAGGAGGGGTGTGCGGCCAAACCTGACCTGTTTGTTGAGATGGGGTTTTGCTGACTGTCCTCTCCCAGCCCTGCTGAGTTGTGTGGCCTGCTGCCTGCCCAGCCCTCCTGTAACTGCAGGGGCTGGGGTCTGGAGAGGGGGGGACCTTGCCTTCCCTCCCTCCCTCTCTCCCTCCCTTCCTTCTTCCCTCTCCTGCCCACCCCAGCAAATGCCCACACCAACCCCTGCCATCCATTTTCTCAGGAACCCGGGAGCAGGGCAGGCCTGGCACCGATAAGGAGGGGTGCCTGTCCCTCCCGCCCCGCCCCAGCTCCTGGCCTGGCTCTTGAGGGGCCTCGGGTCTCCCCGGCTTCTCTGCACACCATGTTCCCGGTCCTGGGTGGCCGGCCTGGCCGCGTGGCCCTGCCTCGGGGCGGGCGGGGGTCTCTGGGAGCCGAGGCGACGCCCCGGGACCGGCGGCCCGGCGCTGCTGGCTGCACACTGCAGGGCCCGCTGGCATTTCTGGAAATACATTTCTATCCTCCTGAGCTGTGCGTGCTCCTTCTTGGCTGGCGAAGCCCCTGACTCACCTCCCGGGCCTGCAGCTGCCCCCGCCAGGCGCGGGGCGCCCCGAGAACCCCGGGAGCTCCACGCCGCAGGCTCTGCCACTTCTGCAAAGGGAATGGCGCGAAGCTCGAAGAAACCAAGCAGTGGGGCGCGTTCACGCCATGGGGCCTGGCATGCACGCACGTGTGTCTGTGCGCGTGTGCGTGCATGTGTGTGTGTGTGTGTGGAAATGGGGTCTCGCTCCCTGTGACCTGCCCGGCCGTGGGGCCCCTTGGCGGGCAGAGCGGGCTGCTGCTGGCTGGAGGTGGCGGGCAGGGCGCAGGGCTGGGGGGGAGGGAGGGGTTCCCTGGCTGGCAGGGCGCAGGGCTGGGGGGGAGGGAGGGGTTCCCTGGCGGGCACCCTGGCCGGCTCCCTGCCCCCGTGGCGGTAGCTTGAGGGGAAACTCGTGGGCTGGGAAAGGGGTGAATGAAAACACCCCATCTTCGGGTTGGACCCCGATGAAACTGAGGCACACAGGCGGTGGAAGGGCAGGCGGACGGGCGCCAGGCACTGGAAGCTCTGCGTCCTCGGCCAGCGCCCGGCGCCAGGGCCCCGCTGGGCAGGGCTGGAGTCAGCAGCCGGGAAGGAGCGATGCAGGCGGCCGCTCACCCCGGGGCCTCCCTCCCTCCTGGGACGCTTGTCCCTCCCACCCCAGCCCCGCCCCTGCTCTGGCCCCCTCGGGGACCAGCATCCTTCCCAGCATGCCTCTCGGCTGCCCCCCCCCCCCCACATCAGTTCACTGAGGCTGGCCAGACCTGGAGTCCAGAGTCTCCCGTCACCTGCTCCCCGGTTTGTCTCCCTGGGTGTTTTGGTGGGTGGGGATCACAGGCCCCAGGAACCCAGGGGCTGGCCACGCCAGGCCGCCCAGGCCTCCCTGCTGCTGCCAGCTACGGCCTCAAAGCCAGAAGTGTTTGGTCCCTGGCGTGAATCCCCTCATCTTGGTCCATCACCCCCAGGTTTGCTTTTCTGACCTAAGTCCCGAGGGCTAACGTGGACCTCGCTGCCACCTGCACCTCCACCCATGTATTTTTTGGGTTGATTGTGGGGCTTGAACTCAGGCCTGGGCTTTGTCCCTGAGCTCTTTGGCTCAAGGCTAGTGTTTCTGCTACTCTGAGCCACAGCACCACTTAGTGGTTCATCGGAGATGAGTCTCTTAGACTTTCCTCCCCCTCCCCCCCCCCCCCCGAAACTGGTTTTGAACCAGGATCCTCGTATCTCAGCCTCCTGAATAGCTAGGGTTGCAGGCGTGAGCCCCTGGTGCCCGGCCAGACTCTTCTTTGCTCCTGGTTTCAGAATGTTGGGGTGATTAGGAGCTCCAAGTCTCAAGTCAGACAACCCGAGTTCAAATCTTGTCTCTGAGCAACTTGGAGCAATGTCCTGAAACTCCCTGGAGAGTGTAAATGATAAGATCAGTTCCACAGAAGGACACTAGCCAGCCCCTTCCACAGAAGGGACACAGACATCGGCCCAAGCCCTGGCTGGGGTCCTGGCTGACTCACACTATCTTCTTTTTTTTTTTTTTTTTTGGGTCCGGTCGTGGGGCCTGAACTCTGGGCCTGGGCGCTGTCCCTCAGCTCTTCAGCTCAAGGCTAGCGCTCTACCACTTGAGCCACAGCGCCACTTCCAGCTTTTTTCTTTTTGCTTATGTGGTGCTGGGGAATTGAACCCAGGGTCTCAGGCAGGCAAGGCAAGCGCTCTACCACTGAGCCACCTTCCCAGCCCCACTCACGCTATCTTCTGTGCCGGCATAGACTGGCCCAGGGCAGTCAGCGCGGCTCCCCGCAGAGAGGCCTCGGGCCCTCTGGTAGGTCCCCCCCCCATAGTCCACTGAAGGTCAGCTCTGCTTGGCTCCTGTCTGTGTGACGAATATCCAGAGAGACAGACAGACAGACAGACGGGCATGACTGTCTGGAGGAGGGGTGAGGAGGATGCCCTGTGCCTCATGACCCTTTGACCTTGCCCCTAACCCAGGCTGAGGGCCTCCCGTGAGTTTCTCTTCTGAGAGACCAGCAGGTCGCTGTCCAGCTTCCTGCCAAAGAGAGGCCCCAGTCCCCAAGAAGTGGCTGTGGAGAGCCCTGCATGAGGGCCCGAGATCGGGGACCCCAGTCCTCACTCCCCCCCTCAATTCCCTCCCCGCTCCTCATTCCCCTCTCCCAACTCCCCCCCAGATGTGGCTGCAGGCAGGGCAGGGCAGGGCAGGGTCTGGGGGTGGCACTGACTGCCAACGCTGCCCTGGTGGGAGAGGCGTAGAGGCGTGTGTTCCTTTAAGGGGCCAGGGGAGCAAGGGAGCACGGGGTACGGTACGGGGGGGGGGGGGGGGGGGAGGAGCGTGTGCTTCCTCCCACCATGCAAGACCCCCGTGGGGAGCCAAGGAGCTACGGGGTGCTGGGTGCACAGCTGGGGCCGGGGGTCCAGGGTCTGACAGTCCCGCCTTACCGCTCAGGGGTCTCCTGGGCCGGGTGGAGGGACCCAGGGCACCGGGTTGGGGCATGAGCCATACGGGGCGTGAGGTCTGGTGACCCTGCTGGCAGTGACCCCGCGGAGCTCCCTGTAGCCACAGCAAGTCCTTGTCCTAGCGAGACACAGGGGTGCCCGCGGGTGCCGGGGTGCGCCGCACATAGCCCTCCCCTCCCTCGCCCCCAGCCCAGCGCTTGCCTGGTGGGGAGGCAATGTCCTTGCCTCAGTTTCCCCAGCTGTGAAGAGGTGTCTACTGGGCCTGCTTCCGTCCTATGGGTCCACCAGGAGGGCAACAGACCTTTGTCCACTGTTTAAAAATAAGAGGGGCTGGGAAGGTGGCTCAGTGGTAGAACGCTTGCCTCGCGTGCATGAGGCCCTGGGTTCGATTCCTCAGCACCACATAAGCAGAAAAAGCCAGAAGTGGCGCTGTGGCTCAAGTGGTAGAGCGCTAGCACAGAGTTCAAGCCCCATGACCGACAAAAAAACAACCATAAGATAGAAAGCAAGTGAGTTAAAGGTGGCTAACACTATGTTTATAATTTTTTTGTCAGTCGTGGGGCTTGAACTCTGGGCCTGGGCGCTGTCCCTCAGCTCTTCAGCTCAAGGCGAGTGCTCTACCACTTGAGCCACAGCACCACTTCTGGTTTTCTGGTGGTTTATTGGAGATAGGAGTCTCATGGTCTCTCCTGCCCGGGCTGGCTTTGAATCATGATCCTCAGATCTCAGCCTCCTGAGTAGCTAGGATTACAGGCGTGAGCCAGCCACCAGCCCCTGGCTGTTTATAATATTTTTGTATATTTCTCTGTAGCTTTTATGCTTCTAAAAAGAAGTATAGAATGTCTGTAAGAGAAAAGATACAAGTAGTACTTATCATGAAAAAAAAAGAAAGCAGAAAATCCTCTGGGGATGTGGCTCAAGGGGTAGAGCACCTGTCCCAGCAAGTGGAAGATTGATTTTCACCTGGGCATTGGGGAGGAATCAGGGCTTTGCACATGCTCGGTACAAACGTTACCATGCACATCCCCAGCCTGGCTCAGATGTGTGTGTGTGTGTGTGTGTGTGTGTGCGCGTGCCAGTCTTAGGGTTTGAACTCAGGGCCTAGGTGCTGCTTTTACATTATTATTATTTTGTTTTTTGCTCAAGGCCGGTGCTCTACCACTCAAGTCACAGCTCCCTTTCTGCCTTTCTGGCGGTGAATTGGAAATAACACTCTCAGATTTTTCTGCTTTGGCTGGCTTTGAACTGCCATCCTCAGACCTCAGCCCCCCGAGAAGCTACTTTTGGCGTGAGCCACCTGCCTCCAGCTTGTGTTTTGTTTTTGAGATAGTGTCTGGCTAACTCCCTCGGCCCTGGCTGGCCTTGGCCTCTAGATCCTCCCGCTACCACCTGTGTAGCTGGGATTAAAGATGCACATCATGGCACCTGAAATGCTATTTTGACCTTGACTTGAGAACTATGCGTCCTATTAGATAAAAAGCAAGTTCCACCTCGCGACCCTCCCCGCAGACACTTCTGGAGTGCACACGTTTCTCAGGGCGGGACTTATTTTGACACACACACAATGCACCTGCTACTTTTTCCAATCCAGTCTGGTCTCCAGACCTCTCCCCGTCAAACCTGCTGTGGACTGTTTTCTTCTCCTCCGTGGTTAATTCCTCCGGGGGAGTCCGCCGTCCCAGGATTCCGACCTGGCCGCCACACGGTCGCCTGCCTGTCGGGTGCTGCTGCTCCTGCCGCTGTCCCCACAGGCCTGCGCCTCCGGCTTGCCCTTCCACAATGGCTTCTGCTACAGCGGCACCCCAGGCTGGGACCCAGGCAGCAGCCCTAGGACCGGTGAGTCCTGGCCTCCTGCTGTGAGGTGTGGGTTCTGGGCTGGGGTGGGGGCAGCGGCCCCTTCCCTATCCGGGCCTTGCCTTGAGATGTGGGGGCCAGGGTCCCCTGCGGATGGCTTAAGACTTTTTTTTTTGGGTCCGGTCGTGAGGTCTGAACTCTGGGCCTGGACACTGTCCCTCAGCTCTTCAGTTCAAGGCTAGCACTCTACCACTTGAGCCACAGCACCACTTCCAGCCTTTTCTGCTTATGTGGTACTGAGGAATCAAACCCAGGACCTCCTGCATGCAAAGCAAGTGCTCTACCACAAAGCCACCTTCCCAACCCGCAGCTTTCGACTTTTTTAAGCTTTTCCCCACACTCTGCCTCTTTTCCTTTCTGTTATCAGTCATAGGGCTTGAACTCAGGGCCTGGGCGCTGCCTGTGAACTCTTTTGCTCAAGACTAGCACTCTATACCACTTGCAGCCAAAGTGCCACTTCCGACGTTTTCTAGGAGTGGAGATGAGGGTCTCACAGGCTTTCCTGCCTGGGCTCGCTTGGAACTGAGATGCTCAGATCTCAGCCTCCTGAGCAGCCAGGATGACAGGCGTGAGCCATGGGTGCCCGGCCCCCACATTGCCTCTTTATTTTTTATTTTTTTTTTGTGGGTTGTGGGGCTTGAACTCTGGGTCTGGGTGCTGTCCCTCGGCTCTTCAGCTCAAGGTGAGCGCTCTACCACTTGAGCCACAGCACCACTTCCGGCTTTCTGGTGGTTTATTGGAGATAAGAGTTTCACGGAAGGACTGGGAAGGTGGCTCAGTGGTAGAGCGCTTGCTTTGCATGCCTGAGGCCCTGGGTTCGATTCCTCAGCACCACATAAGCAGAAAAAAAAACACCAGAAGTGGCACTGTGGCTCAAGTGGTAGAACACTAGCCTTGAGCTGAAGAGCTGAGGGACAGCGCCCAGGCCCAGAGTTCAGGCCTCACGACCGGACCCAAAAAAAAAAAAAAAAGAGTTTCACGGACTTTCCTGCCTGGGCTGGCTTTGAACTGTGATCCTCAGATCTCAGCCTCTTGAGCAGCCAGGATGACAGGTGTGAGCCATGGGTGCCCGGCTCCCACCCCGCCACTTAAAGACGGGCTTCAATGCCACATTCCACAGCCACATAACGTGGACCTGAAGGTCAACCCTGCCACCAGCTGGGTGGCATTGGGCAGGAGACATACAGATCCAGAGCCCGTGAGCCCGTGGTTGGCATTAAGAGAGGGCTCGGCGTCTCCTGGTCCTGTCATTGTTGGTGGCTCTTGCTGGGAGGCCAGCCGGCCTCCGTGGGCCCCGGCAGGTGAGCAGAGTGTGTGGTGAGGCCAGTAGGAATGGTAGAGGCTGCCCCCGGGGCGGGGGGGGCGGGGGGGCGGGTAAGCTGGGCAGGTTCCCACATGCACTGGTCCAGGCACACAGAGACCCAAGCAGCGTCCCTGGGGAACAGCTGTCACCTCTCCCTGCACCTGGGCGGGGCACAGCACCTGGGCCTCGGGCTAGGGCTTGGGAGGGCCTTGCGGATGCGACCATGTGCAGCAGCCCCCCCTGTTCCCCCGCCTCTCCCTCAGGCCTCTTCAGTAGGGTGAAGTGGGTAGTGGAGACCCCTGAGGGGACCCTGTTCACCCATCCAGGGGCCCGGGTGACCCTGCCCTGCCGTTATTGCTACGAGCCAGGCCCGTGCGGGTCAAATGGTGGGAGCTGTCGGAGACCCAGGCCCCTGAGCAGGATGTGCTGGCTGCCACCGGCCACAGGCAGCGCTCCTTGGGGGCCTACCAAGGCGGAGCAGGACTGTGGCAAAACACGGTGTGGGAGGTCTCTCTGGAGCCCCGGGAGGACTCGGGGCGCTACCGCGGTGAGGTCAAGGACGGGCTGGAGGGCCAGAGTGGCCTGGTGGAGCTGGAGCTTCGTTGTGAGGCCCTGACTGGGCACGGGGTGAGGAGAGGCCCGGAGGGACCACCCAGACCCGGCCAGGGGTGGTGGCTCGGGTCTGTGGTCCCAGCTACTGGGTGGGGAGGATCACAGTGTGAGGCCAGCTCAGGCAAAACATTAGCAAGACTCCCATCTCCACCCACTAGCTGGGCATGGCGGCTCCACGGTTCTAGTCCTAGTTATCCGGGAGCTAGGAGGCCATAGGTAGGAGGATCAGGGTTGAAGGCTGACGTGTAAGACTGTACTTAAAAAAAGATTAAAACAAAAAAGTAGCTGGGGGCATGGCTCCAATGGTTGAGCACCAGACCGGGCCGCCAGGAGGGAGGAGGGAGGAGGAAGGAAGGGGGAGGGGGGAGGGGGAAGGGGGGAGGCTGCTGCCCGTGCCCTCCCTCCCTCCCTTCCCCCCACAGCTCTGTCTTTCCCTGATGCTGGGCGTCTCCCATGGAAAATCATTGCATTTTCCTAAGAAATGACCACATTAGTAACCACAGGAGCGGCTAGAGATGCCACCGCCGCTGCTCCGGCCGGTGGGTCTGGCAATCCCATCAGTCTGGACCCATTCAGTCAACCTGGAAATTCAAACACCAGCCCAGAAAGAGGAAAATTCCAGAATGGTTCTAAAAAGCCAAACTGAATTTCCTGCCGATGGGGGTGGGGTGGGAGGGGGGCAGAGGGGGTGGGCGGTGCGCTGGGGCCGCAGGAAGGAAGTCCAGTCTGCCTGGAGTTCCCGGGTCTGGAGGAGGCCTTGAGCGGTGGGGAGGGGCTGGCGGGAGCCCTTTGCAGGAGTGGGGGGGGAGGGGAGTTCTAGGTCTCAGGCCCGTCTCAGCTGTCGGCTGAGGACCTGGGAGCCAGGTGCTGGCTCTTGGAGACAATCGCCCGCCCTTTGCCCAGGTTCTGCAGCTGCGCTGTGAGTTCGCCAGGCCGGGACACCTGCTGACTGGCCTAACTATCTTAACAAGCCAGGGCCTGCCTCCCGGACGCAGGCAACAGACCAGAGCCTGTTCCCAGAGCCTGCAGGGCCCCCCGCAGGCAACAGACCCGTGGTAGACGGGCCTCTCCCCCCTCCCCCCCCCTCCACCGCCCTCCTGCCTCCCTTCCAGCCGTGGTCTTTCCCTACCAGTCCTCACGGGGGCGCTCCCGGCCCACGTTCCTCGAGGCCCAGGAGGTCTGCCAGGGTGGCTTCCTTCCAGCAGCTCTTCCGGGCCTGGGAGGCCGGGCTGGACGGGTGCAGCATGGGCTGGCTGGCTGTGGGAGGCACCCACGCGGTACCCCATCATGCTGCCCTGGCTGCCCTGCGGGGACCCGGGCCTGGCCCCCCGCCATGCACAGCTAGGGACGCCGACACCTGCACCCCTTCGACGTCTTCTGCTTCGCCCCGGCCCTCAGGGGTGAGTCCTGCGGCCCTGGTGGCCCTCTGTTTGGTGGGGACCGGCCTGGAGTGATGGGAACCCCAGACCACTCATCACCCTCCGGGAGGAGGGGCTGTGGCAGGTACTAGAGAGGGGATAGCATCTCCCAGCCTGTGACTGGAGAGGGGGTCAGTTTTATGTTCTTTCTCTAGAGCTAATTGGCCTCTTGTGGTAACTGGGGTGCTACCCTAAGGGAAGGTTACCCCCGCCCCCCATAGTCGCTGTAGATGACCACCGCGGGGTGGCTCTCTGGTCTCAGCCGTCATGTCCTGCCTGGCACAGGCATCGTGCAGGCCCGGCCTGCTCCGGCTGCCCCCACCGTACACCCCACATTCCCTCAGGGCGGGTGTACTACCTGGAGCACCCCAGAACGCTGACCCTGACGGAGGCCAGGGAGGCCTGCCGGGAAGACGGGCGCCCGCACAGACAGGGTGGGCCAGCTCTTTGCCGCTTGGCGGCCTGGACGGCGGCGCTGCGGGCCGGCTGGCGGATGATCCCGTCGCTCACCCCGCCCCGACTGCGGGCTCCCGAGCCTGGGGTCCAGAGCTTCGGCTTCCCGCCCGCACCCTCAGGGCCGGTCCTGCCGTGTCTACTGTGGCAAACTGGCCAGGCGCCGGCCGCAGGTACCTTCCCTTTGGTTTGTGCACGCGTGGGCTTGAACCCAGGGCCTGGGCTTTTGTGCTCAAGGCGAGCGCTCTACCACAGCGCCACTGCCCGCTTTCTGGTGGGTCACTGGGGATGAGAGTCTCACAGGCTCTCCTGCGCCAGCCAGGCCTTCAACTGCATTGTGATCCTCCGATCTGGGCCTCCTGAGTAGCTAGGATGACTGGCGCGGGCCACCGGTGCCCAGAGCCCAGAGGCTCCGAGAGGGCTGCTCTGTGCCATGCGCGACGCTGACCTCTGGCAGCGCACGGTAACTCGTGGCCAGCCCTCGGCCCGCAGGGGTGAGGCGTGGGGGTGAGCCCGCCCCTCCCCTCCTCCTCTTCTGCTCCTGGGGAGTCCGGGTTTTGTTGTCCCGTTTGGGGTGCGGCCTGGCGCGTGTGCGTCTTTCCTGGAAATAAAGGGCGCTGCGTCTCTTCCCCCAGCCCGGCCTCCGTCCGCCTCTGTCTCCCTCAGCCGCCGTCCCTGCCTTCACGGACGGCCTGGTCAGTGCTGGGAAGTTGAGCCACCTGCGTGTAAGAGTGTGTGCGCGTGTGCAAAGCCCAGCGCGGTGTCCACGGGAGGCCGGAGAACCCCTTGGCCTCCAACAGGACTAAGCAGGGTTCCTTGTTCTCAGCGCGTCTGCGCATTGGCTTTCCCATTTCCCTGCTTTTGGCCTCCGTTTACCCTCTGCCTCCTCTCAGGTGGGCGAGCGAGGGGGAGCGCAGATGCGAACGGGGGTGGTGGTCGGAGAGCTCTCTCCGTTGCTTCTGTTGCGCTTTTGAGGCAGGGCCTCGCGGTGAAGCTCCACGCAGGTCTCAAGCTCCCGAGTGCTGGGATTCCAGGCATGCACTACCGCACCCAGCTCTTGTGGACAGCGGGTTCATTGTAAATCCACCGTCGCAGCCCCCCTCCTTGACGTATACACAGGCACCCACACGTGTGATGGCACACACTCGCGCACGGGCTCCGGGGCGCAGGCCCCCTCCGACGCGATCGCCGTAGCGTACGCCACACACAGCAGAGCCCACAGGAGTCACACCCCAGGCTGGGTGCTCTGATCAAAACCCTGCCCCCCCCCCCCCCCCCCCCGAGCACCCAGGTCATGGTGTTCTTTTCCTTAAAAAAAAAAAAAAGAAAAAGAGAGAGAGATCTCCTCCAATGTCTTTATTATTTATAATTATCATAATCTTTAGTTTTCCAAAAATATAAATAGGTGCATGGAACACTGGTGCCTGCACTGTCCCGGGGGAAGGGGGGTGGTGAACTCCCCGGGGAGGAAGTGGCCTTACCCAGCCCTGCTGAGAGAGGGAGAGAGAGAGGGAGGGAGGGAGGGAGGGAGGGGAGACCCCTCCAAGGTGGCAGGAGCTGGAATAGGGGCTCCGAGGGAGGACCCCCCAGGCGGCCCACACCCCTCTGACGGCTGCCAGCCAGCGGCCCCCGCCCGCCCCAGGCCTGGCCCGCCACGGGCCCCGTGCGGCCCCACTGGTTCCCTTTGTCTAATACATTCAACTGGGGTCCCCTGGAGTCTGGTCGCTTTTGCCCCCCCCCCTCCCCTGGGCCCCTCCCCCTCCCCCTCGCTCTCCCAGGGGGGTGGGGGTGGGGGGTGAGGGGGGCGGGCAAACAAAGACCGACCCGATGGGGCTGGGGTGAAGTCCGGGAACAAAAAAATAATCTTCTTTATTTAACTTAACCCCTCCCTGCTCCCCTGTCCCTGTGCTGGTTCTTGGAAAGGCACGGTGGGCAGATGGACGGATGGACGGATGGACTGACTGAAGAATTTCTCTCACCCCAGTCTCTGGGTTAATAGTGAGTTTGCTTGGCTTTGGCTTTTGGTGGGGGGACAAATTAGATGCAGTTTTGGGGGGCATGGCGGTGGGTGGGCATACGCGATGTCGGGTTTCGTGTTTCCTTCTTTAATGGGATTCCTTATAAGACAAGAAGCAACCAGGAGAGGACGCTGTCTGGGTGGGGGGGCCCCCGGGCTCAGCATCCTGGGTACGACAACGTTCTGGAAGCTTCTCTCAGTGCGCTGCCCTGGGCGGGCTGTGCCGGGCTGTTGGCCGCCAGCTCCGCTTCTGCCGTTTACTCTTGTAGGCGGTGGCTGGGATGAAGGGGGGGGGAGAAATTGGGGTGAATCGTGGGGAAGTGGGGGCCCTCCCCTCTTGGACTTGTCTTCGAATCCGGAACCTGCTCAGACCAAGTGGCTGCAGGCTGGGGACTTGTGCCGCCCCCTCCCCCCGCCGTGACCCCAGGATGGCACGGGGTGGGGGCTCCTGTGGGCAGGCAGGCCACTGCCATGGTTCCCTGGGGACAGGCCAACCCCGGGGCCAGTGCTCACGGTCTGTGCAGGTGACACGCGGCTCCTCCCAGTGCCCGCTGGGCTGGCAGCGGACGGTGGGCACGTGGCGCTGGACGAAGCCGTCGGTGCACTGGTACCGCACCAAGGAGTTGATCTCGTACCGGTCTCTCTTCTGGCCCAGGGTCCTGGCATGTTCCACTGTGGGGGGCGCACCGCAGGCCACTGGGGGGCAGACAGCAATGGAGAGAGGCCTGGACCAGCCGGGTGGGCTGGGGCCCCGCTGAGCTCTGACCGCCAGGGGCAAACCCCGGGCTAAGAAGCTGGAGACGAGCCGAGCGCCGGTGCTCAAGGCCTGTTAACTCCAGCTACTCAGGAGGCTGAGGCCTGAGGATCACGGTTCACAGCCAGCCCGGGACAGGAAAGTCCGTGAGACTCCTATCTCCCATGAACCACCAGAACACTAGAAGTGGCGCTGTGGCTCAAGAGGTAGAGCGTGGCCTTGAGCTGAAGAGCTGAGGGACAGCGCCCAGGCCCAGAGTTCAAGCCCCATGACCGACCCCCCCAAAAAAATCCCAGAGTGAGAGAGGCCCCCCACCCCAGGAACCGCTGGGGGTCTCTGGACCGTGGGTACTGGGGGACTAGGGTCCTGGGGGTCTCTGGGCCGCGGGTACTGAGGGACTAGGGTTCTGGGGGTCTCTGGGCCGCGGGTACTGGGGGGCTAGGGTTCTGGAAGCCGCAGAACGGGGACTCTCCCCGGATGGCCTCCCTCGGAGCCGCTCACCCGTGCCCTTCTTGCAGGTGAAGGGCAGGTGGTAGTTGCAGGGCACGTCATTCCACTCGCCCGCCTCGTGCCAGATCATCACCACGCAGTCCTCGCCCGCGGCGAAGAAGTTGTCCGGCTGGTTGGGACGCCATTTCTCAAATTGCTGGGGGCGGCAGAGGGGAAGGGGTGAGGAGGGGCGGGCGGGCTAGCGTGAAGGCTGCCGGTGGGCGGGGGGGGGGGGGAGGGTTGGTAGAATGTGGGTTCTAGAGGGAAAGCTGGCTGCAGACCCCGGGCTGCCGGGAGCTGGGATCCCGGGCGGGAATCCACCCCGTGCCGCGTGCACCAGGCACCGCCATCGGTGTTGCTTTGCACCTGTCTGCCCTGTGGACCTGGGGGATGCTGCGGGCGAGACCCCATTTTCTTCCTGCCATCTGGGCTCCCCCCACAGCCACCCAGCTTAGTGAGCATTTTTGCCGGGTCTGAATGTATGTGGCTGGGGAAAAGGGGGGCGTGCTCAACCCCCCCCCCCCACTCCTCTGGGCCGCAGCTGAACTCACCAGGGGGTGTCCATCTGACCAGCGGAAGTCCCCTTCGATGGTCCTGTCATTCAGGCCGACCCACTGGTAGTCCTGAGCGTTTTCTGCAGAGGGAAGGCAGTGGGGGTTGGTGTTGGACTCCTGGGAGGCCGTTGGAAACGTGGGGATCGAGGGGAAGGGGGTGGTGTGCCCCCGCCTCGAGCTGCCATGACCCCTGGCCCTGAAGACTCTAGCTTTTCTTCGGAACTCCAGGCCTGGGGCTGAGCTCTCCACACCTGCGCCCTGGCCCTGCAGCCTTTCTGGGTCCAATCTGTTTTTCTTTTTTTCCACTCCTGGGCCTTGAACTCAGGGCCTGGGCACTGTCCCCGAGCTGCTTCTACTCAAGGCTTAGCGTGCTACCACTTGAGCCACAACACCACTTCTGCCTTTTTCTGAGTCGTGTATTGGAGATAAGAGTTTCCCGGGCTTTCCTGCCTGTGATACTCAGATTTTAGCCCCCTGAGTAGGTAGGATTACAAGCATGATCCACCAGTGCCTGGCTTTGATCTGCTAATTCCATTTCTTCTCATAATGCTGGAAACCAGGGCTTTGGGCATATTAGGCAAGTACTCCAGCATGGAGCAAGGCTGGTGCTCTACCACCTGAGCCACACCTCTACTTCTGGTATTTTTTTTTGCTGGGTAATTGGAAAGAGAGTCTGCCATAGTTCCTGCCCATGTTGGTTTTGAACCAGGCTCCTCCAGATCTCAGCCTCCTGAGTGGTTGGGATTACAGAGGTGAGCCATCACACCCGGCTCCAGTCTGCTGATTGTGCCCGCTCAGCAGCCTCAGCCCCCCGCGGCCACACTCACTGTTGACGAACTCCTGCTCCTCCTGAGTGAGCACGCTGCTCAGGTGAGCCTGCAGCTCGCGACACCGCCTCTCCGCGTCCACCCAGGTCTCGCGGTCGGGGAAGTGGCGGTAGCAGTGACCTTGGAACTTGGTCCAGCCTTCCTCACACACCTCCTGGTCTGTAACACAGGGCAGGGGCTCGGATTGGGGGCGGGAGGCCGGCTGGGGGAGGGGTCCCCTCAGCCCTCTGCAAATGCCATGCTCTGGAGATGAGGGACAGGTAAGCAGAGCGTCTGGGCACTGTCCCTGAGCTTTTATTTTGCTTAAAGTTGGTGTTCTACCACTTGAGCCATAGCTAGCTCTCCTTCTGGCTTTTTTGATGGCGAATTGGAGATGATAAGACTCTCACGGACTTTCCTGCCCAGGCTGGCTTTGAACCGTGATCGTCAGATCTCAGCCTCCTGAGTAGCTAGGATGACAGGCGTGAGCCTGAGGCCTGTTTCAGAAGGCAGTGAAGCCTGGCCCTGGGAACTCCCATTTCCTGTTGGTGTCTAGGAAATGACAGGGACCGGGATGCAGCTTTCCTCCTGCAATGCCTGCCCGGGAGGCTGGCAGAGCACAGCAGGCCTGGCCGGAAGCGTTGAGACCCAAGGCCGAGCGAGGCTCGGTGATTGTGGCGTCTGGGAGGAGGGGAGCTGTGTCCGTGGCAGGCCGGGAGTGAAATCTGCCCACGGATCCTTGAGACCACAGCTCCCTCCGCACTGGGTCCTGGGAAGGCTGGGGGCTCCCTGCTGGAGCTGGGACCCTGCGGGAGGCTCTGCCATCTGGTCTTTTGATTGGCAGACTGGATGAGGGGGAGGAGCTTCTGACTTTGTGATGCGGCCTGTCATCTGCAGAAGGGGCAGACCCCGGGGTAGGGTGGGGGCAGCGGCGGGGACATGCTGGGGACAGCTCACTCACGGGCACCGCCTCCTAACGCTGCCCTCAGGGCCAGCACACTGTGGGCCCCGGCAGGTGGGCAGGTCATGAAAGTCAGGACTCGGGTTTCCACGATGGGAGCTAGCGGTTGGCACAGCTCTGGACTGGGGGGGGGGTCCAAGGCCCCCTCTCCCCTCGGGCCTCCAGGCAGTACTCTCTGGGGTTCAGGGAGGGCTGTGAACGGCAGCCCCACCCCCGGCTGAGCCCCCCACAGTCTGGCTGTCCCAGGAACAAAGCCCCAGCCCCTGTGGGTGAGCGTGTGGCCAGGTTGAGAGGAAAGAAGAAGGAAGACGGAGGCCGGGCCTCCGCGGTGGCCGCCTGTGCCCTCCCCAGGGGCGAAGCACAAGTCTGGGGGGGCAGGCGGGGAGCCCCCAGGGTAGCTCAGCACCAGAAACTGCACCCCGGGCCAGCGCCAGGGCCCATGAGGGCTGAGCTCGCTGGGCAGGCCGGGCCACAGCGGGGCCCACGCGGGACTGGGGACAGACAGGCCTGCAGGGAGGCTGGAGCCTCAGGAAGGAGGCCGCGGCGGGACAGGAGCGGACGTACGGCCATGTGCTGCTGGCAGCCAAGGGCCAGCCGGGTAGCTGTGGCCCCATCCCCCCCCCCCTCTGCTCTGTAGGGGTGTGGAGTCTGGACGGCCCCCCCCTTCCCCCATCCTGCTGATTCCCCCAGAGCCTGGACATTCCAGACCTTTCCAGACTACTTCAGATCTTTCTAGATCTTCCCACGCCATACCCCCCTGTAGCTTTGGCACTGTGGGAGGAAGGCCCTGGAAGCTACTCCCAGCCCAGCCGAGATCCCCCCCCCATCACTAGTCGCATGGGGTCTCACGGGGGAGGGGACGGGGGGGTGCAGGCCTTTCCTTCTAGAATCCTGAAGACTCTTCGCCGGAGATGTGTGCTCTAACTCTCTCCCCACATTGTCCACGCACAAAGGGAGCTTAGCTTTCCCGGGAGTCTCAGCTGTGCTTCCTGGAACTTTCTGGAGAGTCCTGTTGGCTCAACAGGGCTTCGAGCCCCTGACGCTGGAGTTGTGTGTGGGCCAACACTGTCGCAAGTGTCTCCCCCCCCCCCCCAAGCAGGCTGTTGCCACGGCGACAGGCCCAAGCCGCCACAGCTTCACCCCTGCCACAGGGGGTCGCGCCCGCCTGGCTCTAGGGGAGAGGCCGCTGGGCTGGGAGGCAGGTGTCGTGGAGGGAAGGTGGCCCGCAGCGGTCCTGGCCCCAGGAGAAGGGGGAGGGTGCCACACCGTCGGGGCCACCAAGGCCTCTCGAGCCACGTGGCGGGCAGGCCTTGCTCCTGACCCAGCTGAGACTACCTGAGCTTCGTCCAGACACACAAAACCGGCCGCGCCCGGAGCCACACGCACGCACCCGGCTTGGTGGCACCGGAAAGCCCCGTCCCAGAGGAGGTTAGCGGTTTAGAGATTTCCCAGGGCCCCGTCTCTCACAGTGGCCGAGCCGGTGCCCAAGAGGAAGGGTGATGAGGGGAGGAACAGGACAGAGAGTGGGACTCCGTGGGGGCAGATCTCACGCCGGGGGCCCCTGGGGGGGCTGTCCGGATGGACCTGGGGCCCAGCGGGGGGCCGAGCGCCTGCGTGCGTCTAGAAGGGAGGGGCGGCGGGGGGCGGGGCGCACGTGTTAGTGACATTAGCTGAAGCCCAGCCGGCCGTACCAATCTCACACCGGTCCCCTCGGTAGCTGGGAAGGCATAAGCATGTGAAAGAGGCGCCGGTGTCCGCACAGGTGGCTCCATTCACACAAGGGCTTGACAGGCATTCATCCACGTCTGCAAGAAACCAAGGGCCGCCGTTAGCTCCCCGCCAGCCGCCAGCCTGGGGGGCGCCTTGTGGGTGGCCAGCTCTGATCTCTCCTGGGAGGGGACAGGCTGGTTTTCCTGTGGACCTTTGCTGCTGCTGCTGCTGCTGCTGCGTCACCACCGCCATCTTGGAATGCAGACTCAAGGACCCAGATGTATTGGTGATGGTGATGGCAGTCGTGGGGCTTGAACTTGGGTCCTGGGCGCTGTATTCGAGTTCTTTCGCTCAAGCCTAGCACTCCACCGCTCAGAGCCACAGTGCCACTTCTGGTTTTCCGGTGGCTCATAGGAGAGGAGAATCTCGGGGAGTTTCCTGCCTGGGCTGGTTTTGAATCGCCATCCTCCGATCTCAGCCTCCCAAAGTAGCCCGGCTTCAGATGCGATTCTTCATCGGCCAGTTTGGAGTCTTGGAGCCAAAGTTTCGAAGAGAGCTGGTAAATTCTGGAATCAGAGGCTGCCTTTTTGTGAGAACGAGCGTTGGGTGTCTTCTCAGGAACTACATCAGGAAGCCATGACTGGCTGGGGACACAGGGCTGGGCGAGGAGGGTGAGGCGGGGCGGGGCTGGGGGAAGTCAAGGCGAGGTAGTGGTCTGCAGAGTTCAGATCCATGGGGAGTAACACGTGGGGTATGGACATGAGACTCCTGGCTTGCCAGACAGCGTTGCCTTCAGTAAGTCAGACGCCAGACTGTCCCGCAGAAATGGAGTCAGGACGATTCTCCAGTGAGATGGGCTTTTGTAGAGGCTCAGCCCAGCCAGGGGGCTGTAATTTGTGAGCCTGCCCGTACCAGTCTGGGACGCAGGCAGGTGCTACCTGCCTCCTCTTCTCAGGAAGCCTCCTCGCTCCCGTTCTTCTGGTGTTCTGGAAGGACTTCTTCAACTTTTGAATTGGCCGAGGTGAGAACAGACACTTGGAATCGGGTCTTCTTGTGCCTTTTCCGAGAAACCAGGTGCCCCAGGGCCCTCCTCCTCTCCTCTTGCCATGTGAACTCTGGAACTCCTGCTGGGGTTGGGTTCCTTTTCCTGGGAACATGATGATAAGTGGCATGCAGTGCCCATTGCTGGGGAGGAGGGATGCAGAGGCTCTGAGTCACCGGGGTCTCCCGGCTCACGGTACACTGCATTGCCAAGCCCTGCTGGTCTTCGGGAGCCTGTGGCATGTGGGCAGGGTCTCTGCAGGTGCGCGCAGCAGCTGCGTCCACCTCCTCCCCTCCGGTGGAGAATGGAACCTCTGAATCTATGCATGTTCTGGAATCTGATTCCTGCTCCTCCTCAGGGTTAAGTAGGCCTGTGTTGGGAGAAGCTAGAGAGCTTCCCACTGGGTCCTCAAGCTTGGGTAGGTAGATAATACTTCCCGGTCAGAGTTGGGTTTGTTCTGTGGACATTTCACGAAGCTCTCCTCCTCTGCACCCCTCTCTCGCCCTGGAGTCCTTCCGTGGGGCGCACGCCAGGGGTTAGAAATGGTGAGCTCCCAGCGCACAACTGTTTCCAATTAAACCCAAGAGTCATGGAGCAGCGGTTGGAAATCCCAGCATGCACTTGGATTCCCAGCCTGCACCAGGACTTGCAGTGGCAGCGGCAGCAACGGCGGCAACAGCAGCAGCAGCAATAGGTCAGGCCAGTGGGCAGGGTGGGAGCTGGGGGCGGCTGTCCTGATTCGGGAGAGCTGTGTTCTCTGGTACCCATTAGAGCCATTAGAGGAGCCGGGAAGCGCTGGGCAGGGGTGGGGTGGGGAGGAAGCCAATGTGCTAAAGCAGTTGTACAGAGCAGGGGGTGGGGTGGGGTCGGGGCGGCCTCAGACAGCAAGGCCAGGGCCTCTGGCTGACCCATGGGCGAGGGGCCGGGAAGGAGGGAGGCCCGGATGTGCACGAGGCCCCTGTGTGCTGGCTATGTTCTGCCCGGGCTGTGAGGACCAGCCGAGGAGGGAAGACAGGGCCACTCTGTGGTAGCACGGGGGCAGGCCAGAGAGGCGGAACAGCATAGCAGTCAGGAAGGGGCGGTGTCCTATGTGAAGCCTCCTCCATGTCCAGTTGGTCCCCTAAGACCTTGTTGTCTCTTCCTCTGGCTGCAAGAGACGCCCCCCCCCCCCCCCCACTCTGACCATCCCTCTCTTTCTCTGAAGTGCATTAGGATACTCTCAGCTGCTAGAACCAGGGAAGCAGCTGGGGTACAACCTTTTGTCAGCATCGACAAGTGGGGGAGGTTGAGGGGGTCCCAGATAAGAGGACAGCAGGTGGAGGCAGGGAAAAGTTCAAGGCAATGGCAGCCTTCACGAGGGAAGGAAGAAAGCTGGGGGTCAATATCCGGTCAGATGACGCCCCGATTCCCACACACATGTGACACAGACACCGTTACACCATTCTCAGGCAGGGAAACAAGTGGAGCGATTCGCTTGTGTGGCACGTGGCAGGTGGATTGGAAGAGATGGAAGAGAGAGTGGGGATGTGAGACAGGAAGCCAGGCCTCCATCTTATGTGGAGGAAGAGAGACATGGGTTCTGGACTCTTAGCACCTTGTGACTGCTTCTGCTACAGCCTCCCCTCCCCCCCCCCCCCCCCCCCCCCCCCCAGGGCTCAGCCACCGTTCCTGAGCTGGGATTTTCCACTCCATTCTTCCTACTACTGAAGCTAGAAGGGAAAGGATGGTTTGATCCCAAATGAGATCCTGCAGTGACAGCTCTCGTTCAAGACAGAAAATAACCAGGAGCCCCAGTACAGGCCAGAGATGCAGAGACACCTGAACACAGTCACACTGGTGTCTAAATGGAAAGCCTCAACTCCCTGCCCACCCCCTCGCAGCCAGAGACATCTTGCTTGGATCTGAGCCCAGGACCTCTAAGAGACCAAGACTTTCTTTCTTTTTTTTTTTTTTTTGGGGGGGGGGGGGGTCCAGTTGTGGGGCCTAAACTCTGGGCCTGGGCGCTGTCCCTCAGCTCTTCAGCTCAAGGCTAGCACTCTACCACTTGAGCCACAGCACCACTTCTAGCTTTTTTCTTTTTGCTTATGTGGTGCTGAGGAATCGAACCTAGGGCCTCAGGCATGCAAGGCAAGCGCTCTACCACTGAGCCACCTTCCCAGCCCTAGAGACCAAGACTTTCTTGGGTTCAAAGAAAATGCCAAAGACTGATGATAGCAGGGGGTTTGGCGCTCAGCGACAAGGTTGGCTATTTAGATAAACAACAACGTATATGTTGTTCTTCAAGTGACTCAGTGTCCAACCTGTGCAACTGAGTGATAAATGCAGACCTAAAATCCCTCCAATGCCAAAGGCTACAGAGCGAGCTCCATAGACTCATGGGTCCTGGTATGCTGATGGGTTAAAGGAGGGAACCACTACCAGTGAGGCAGGTGGGAGCCGGCTGCAAGTGTTGAATGCAGCCTTACTCTCCAGCTCCTTCCTGTCCTGCTCCCGGAAATCTAGCTTTAGGTTTATTTTTTAAATTTTTTTTGGGTAGTTGTGGGGCTTGACCCTTTCCCTGAATCTTTTTTCTTTTTTTCTCAAGGCTAGTGTTCTACCACTTTGAGCCACAGCCCTACTTCCTGCTCAGGCTGGCTTTAAACCGGGATTCTCAGAGCTCAGCCTCCTGAGTAGCTAGGATTACAATGCGTGAGCCACCAGTGCCTGGCTTTAGCCTTAGTGTTTTGGAGCTCAGCAACGTGGCTTCATGTGCAGGAGGGAGCTTCTTATGAAGCCGAATGGGTGGTACAACCTACAAGTGAACAGAGGCCCCGATCCAACCCTGTGGAGTTAGCCAGGAACTCCTTGGAGATTCCCTACTGGAGGGCGAGGCAGAGAGCCACGCCCCACACTCTCCCCCAAATTCAACATTTCCTTCAAGTTTTACCTTCAATGTTCGGGCACCTTTTGTGATCTACTCTTAAAATGAGCATTGGCTCGGTATAAAACGAAGTACTAACCAGCCTAAGGATTCAACTTGAGTTGTTTCTTTTCTTTCTCCTCCTAAACCTCTCTGTGGTCTCAGTGCTCTGGAAACATGTGCCTGACACATTTTCCCTGGGGTTTCTCCCCCTTCCCCACCACCCCGGCCTCCCAAGTGGCTGGGATTACAGGATTGAGCCGTTGTGCCTGGTTTGTGCTTGGGACTTTAAAACGACACTACCTCCTTCCACACCACAGCTGTCTAGGGCCCAAACTGCAACACACATTTAAAGGAAGAAGATCCCCGACAATACCTTCACCGGTCCACTCTGCTTCCCCTGACCCCTGTGTTCGAGAAGTAGGGCTGGAGGCATCTGTTGGGGCAGCGGCCGTGTTGGAGGTTTGGGTCTGGTCCTCTGTCTGCCAGGGACTCAGGGACTCAGTTTCCAGATGCGCCTCTGCGGGGCCCTCTGTCGGCCGCACAAACTCCACGATGCTGGCGGTGATGTCCATGTCCGGGCCTGAGGTGTGACCAGACGGGTCTCCGCTGATCTCGGTCCTGTCTCCAGAAGCGGAGGGAGCGACCGGTGCCTCTGTGTCCACATCGTAGCCGGTGGTGACCTCTGTGTTTACTTCTGGGCTGGCTGTTCCCACTCCGGAACCTTCCTGAAAGGCCCAAGGGCTGCCGTTGGCCCCCAGGCCCGAGGCACTGGCCAGCCCGGCTTCTGGGAAGGCAGCGGGGGTGGACCATGGCGCTTCGCTGCTGGCCTCGGGGTTCACCGTGGCCTCAGGATAGGCAGATGACCCGCCGCTAGCTTCGGGGGTCACAGAAGCTTCTACCCCGGCCCCGGAGAAGGCTGGCGTGGCTCCACTCCACACCGGGACCTCCCCGCTGGCCTCAGAGAATGGGGGCGTGTGTGTCGCGGGGGGTCCCCGGCCGAGCTCCTGGGAAACGGTTGGCTCGGTGACGCCCTCCACCAACTCGGAAGCGATCCAGGTGATGTCCGGGGACCCCGAGGCGTCTCCGCTGGCGCTTGCGCGGCCTGAGGAGTCGCCACTTAGATCAGTGGCGGGGCTGGAAAAGTCCCCGCTGGAATCGGGAGGGCTCGGTGGGTCGCCGCCGCTCGCTTCCCGTCCCGGCTGCAGCCCGCTGAGGTCCACAAATCCAGAATGTTCTCCGGAGTGCGCCCCGCCAAGCTCCCACAAGCCCGAGGGCCCTTCTCCAGCTTCCTGGGCGGTGGGGGCCTGGGTTCTAGATGCCACCCAAGTTCTGTCCACTAGGGAGACGGTGGGGAGGCCGGACGCCAGCCCGCTCCCGGCCTCGGCCCCCCAAGAGTCGCCGCTGACCTCGGCCACACCGCTCGGGAGGCCGCTGAATTCCGGAGCTCGCGATGGAAGCCCACTGGAGTCGAATGTTCCAGAAGAATGTCCACTGCCATCCAGCCCCCCAGAGGGGAAGCCGCTGAGCTCCACAGACCCCAAGCCTTCTTCCTCTTTAGATGGAGTGGGGGTTACCTCCACCAAACTGGCGTCCACGAGCACAATGCCAGAAAATTCGCCGCTGCCGCTCACAGCCCCAGAGGCCAGCTCAGGGACTTGGGGGGTGGCTTCCCCAAATCCCGCCACCCCCGAGGACTGCCCACTGAGATCGAGAGCCCCGGAGAATTCTCCACTCGGGTCTGTTCTGTCAAATGGCTGACCACTACCAGAAAGAACTCCAGAAGCTTCTCCGCTCACGTCTGGTTGTCCAGAGGAGAGGCTGCTGGACTCCGTCACTCCAGACGCTTCTCCGCTGCCGTAAGGAAATCCTGATGGCTGCCCACTGACCTCGGAAGTTCCAGATGCTTCTCCGCTCAGGTCAGGAAACTCAGATGACTGTCCACTAGTGCTGAAGAGTCCAGACGCTTCCCCGCTGAGGCCACTGAGCTCGGCTCCCGAAGCAAATCCACTGGTGTCCAGCTCACCGACGGGCAGCCCGGAGATTTCCCCAGCACCGCTGATGCTGACGATCCCCCTCCCTTCCAGCTCGCTGGCCGTGGTGGCCGTGACCACTTCCACCAGTGTGGCGTCCACAAGGGAGACCGTCGGGAGTCCAGAGGGGAGGCCGCTGAAGTCAGGCAGGCCCGAGGCTGGGCCGCTCCCAAGGTCCCCTCCAGAATACTCACCACTGGATCCAGAGGGGAGGCCGCTCACTTCGGGAGCATGGCCGCTTCCTGGCGTTCCTGAAGGTAGCCAGCCCAAGTCTGGGGCCCCAGACGCAGAGCCCACCATGTCCTCTCCTCCAGAAGGGAGCCCACTGAGGTCCTCAGCTCCGGAGGTAGAAGTTTCTAGGCCCTCCCTTCCTGAAGGCAGCCTGCTGAGGTCCTCAATTCCAGACGCAGAATTCTCCAGATCTCCTCCTGCAGTAGGAAGCACACTGAGGTCTTCTGCTTCAGACGCAGAAGTTTCTAGACCTTCTCCTCTGGTAGGAAGCACACTGAGGCCCTCATCTCCAGAAGTAGAAGTTTCTAGACCTTCTCCACTGGTAGGAAGCACGCTGAGGCCCTCATCTCCAGAAGTAGAAGTTTCTAGACCTTCTCCACTGGTAGGAAGCACGCTGAGGCCCTCATCTCCAGAAGTAGAAGTTTCTAGACCTTCTCCACTGGTAGGAAGCACGCTGAGGCCCTCATCTCCAGAAGTAGAAGTTTCTAGACCTTCTCCACTGGTAGGAAGCACGCTGAGGCCCTCATCTCCAGAAGTAGAAGTTTCTAGACCTTCTCCACTGGTAGGAAGCACGCTGAGGCCCTCATCTCCAGAAGTAGAAGTTTCTAGACCTTCTCCACTGGTAGGAAGCACGCTGAGGCCCTCATCTCCAGAAGTAGAAGTTTCTAGACCTTCTCCACTGGTAGGAAGCACGCTGAGGCCCTCATCTCCAGAAGTAGAAGTTTCTAGACCTTCTCCACTGGTAGGAAGCACGCTGAGGTCCTCATCTCCAGAAGTAGAAGTTTCTAGACCTTCCCTTCCAGAAGAAAGTCTGCTGAGGTCCTCTGCTCCAGACGCAGAAGTTTCTAGACCTTCTCCTCTGGTAGGAAGCACACTGAGGCCCTCATCTCCAGAAGTAGAAGTTTCTAGACCTTCCCTTCCAGAAGAAAGTCTGCTGAGGTCCTCGGCTCCAGATGCAGAAGTTTCTAGACCTTCTCCAGTAGGAAGCACACTGAAGTCCTCTATTCCAGATGCAGAAGTTTCCAGACCTTCTCCTCCAGAAGGCAGCCCACTGACATCCCATCCTCCAGAGGTGGAAGTTTCCAGACCTTCTTTTTCAGTAGGAAGCACATGGAGATCCTCTATCCCAGAAGCAGAAGTTTCTAGATTTTCTCTTCCAGAAGAAATTCCACTGAGGTCTACTCCAGAGGTGGAAGCTTCTGGACCTTCTCCTCCAGAAGGCCACCCACTGACATCCCATCCTCCAGAGGTGGAAGTTTCTAGGCCTTCTCCTCCAGAAGGCCGCCCGCTGAGGTCCCCTAGTCCGGAGGCAGAAGTTTCTAGACCTTCTTCTCCAGAAGGCCGCCCGCTGAGGTCCTCTGCTCCGGAGGTGGAGCCGTCCGCACCCTGGCCTGCAGAGGGCAGACTGCCAACCCCAGGCCGGCTGGCTGGCTCTACACCGTCTTCCTCCCCGGAGCCCGCTGCGGAGGTGAAGCTGTGGAGGTCCAGGTCGCCGGAGGGCTGGCCGCTCCCCGCTGCCCCCTGAGGGCTGGCCGCTGGCGTCGGGGCCTCCCCAGGCCTCTCCGCTGCCTGTGAGGTCAGGGGCCCCCGACGTCTCCCCAGAGCCCGGCAGAGGCGGCTCGGTCCCGCGGGGTGACGGTGAGGACAGCCCCTCTGGAGGTTCAGAGGCAGAGGGTTCCACAGGCTCAGCAGCAGTGGCAGTAGGTCCGCCTGTGGCTCCTTCCGTGGCCCCTTCCGTGGTGCTCTCTGCTTCTGGGCCACTGGCAGTCCACGTGGCAGGGGTCCCTGGAGGCAGGGAGGGAGCAAGGTGAGCTCACAGGTGGAACTGGACTCCACGCCTGGACTCCACATACGACCTCTCTCGACAGTCACGGAGACGGTCACAGAGGCTTTGTAATGGAGTTCCTTGCGGGGAGAGAGGGCAGGAGGGAGGAGAGGGAGAGCAGGAAGGAGAGGAGGAGGAAGGAAAGGAAAGAAGGAAGGGAGTAGGGATAAAAAGGAAGGAGGGCTGGAGGGAGGGAAGGAAGAAAGGCCTGAAGAGCAGAGAAGGAAGGAGGGATGCAAGAAGTGAGGGAGAAGAGGGTGGGAGAGAGAGAAGGAAGAGGGAAAAAGAAGAAGGAGAGGAGGAAAGGAAGGAAGGAGGAGAGAAGAAGAAGAGGAAGGCAGGACGGAGGAGAGGAGGGGCGAGGGGAGGGGAGGAGGGGAGGAGGGGAGGAGGAGGGGGGAGGGGGGAGGGGGCAGAAAGGAGGGGAAAGCCAGGATCAGGAAGTCCCCTGTGCCGTGCTCAGGGCTTGGGACCCACCTGTTGGTGAGGCTGTGGCCACCGAGGTGTCGATTGGCTCCCATGCAGTCTGGTTTTCGGGCTCGATGGTGGAGCTGGGGGCCAGGGTCCTGTCCAGCCCTGGGGGGACGGCGGCCACGTCCGGCCTCACCTGTGTGACGATCCAGTCCTCGGGGCCGGTGGGTGGTGTGGCTGTGCCATGCTTGTCTTCTCCCGGAGAGGGCGCCACTGAGACACCTGAGGGGAGGGGAGGGAGGTTGTGAGGCTCCCGCTGTGTAGGACCCACCCCACAGTGGGCCTTGCATAGGGAGCTGGGGAGTTCCCAGCTCAGCCAGGTAGCCCTGGGCCTGCACGGTTCAGAGTGGCCACCTGCACGGACGCACCATCTCCCCGGGCTCTGGGGAAGCCACTGCGCCTCCCCTGCAGTCTGCCGTGCCGGCCTGGGATTACCTCAAAGGCAGTGAGTTTGTGTACAATCTCACATTAGCTGAGTGTGGCCTGCGGCTCATGCCTGCAAGCCAAGCTATTTGGAGGCAGAGATCAGGAAGGTTATCATTGGAAAGCAGCCCAGGCAAAAAAGGTTTGTGAGACCACCCCTTCCCCCACCCCCACACCAGGTGTGGAGGCTCAAGTCTGCCATCCCAGCCACGCGGAAGGCACAAATAGCGGGATCACTGTCCGGGTTGGCCCTGATCAAAACGCAAAACCCCCATCTGAAAAATAACACACAAAAAGGGCCGGGGGTGTGGTTCCAGTGGTAGCGTGTCAGCTGAGCAAGCTCAAGGCCCTGAGTTTAGGCCAAGACATTTTTTAAAAAAATTCAACCCCCCCCCCCAAAAAAAACCCAGCCAATCAGGGAAGCTGAAGAGGAAACAAACTTTTGTGTGGCTAGTACAGGGGCTGAGGGCACTGAAGGGTGGGTGGGTGCTGAGGGGCTGACGGCCAGGTTTCTGCAGCTCATGCCAGGGAACAGGGCCTGGAATGAGGGCCTCACCACCTCCCAGGGGAAGGGAGCCTGAACTGGGAATGGGGTTTGAACGGTGATCCTGGAGATCTGGGGAAAACTTGGGGGGGAGGGGAAGATGACTTTCTGTTTTGTATTTTATTCCTCCCCCTCCCTTCATTGTATTTGGAAATTTAATTAGAAGTTGCAAAGGTACTTGGAAGACTGGAAAGGTGGTCCGAGCTGTTCTGCAGTTAATACTCCAGTCAGCACATCCTGTCCTGTGGGTGCTGGGGGGGCTGGTCCAAGCAGGGGCCATGCCCTGGCCACGCTCAGATTTCCACAGTTACAAACCTTGAATGATTTGGTGCTTAGTAAAGAATGACTGGGCTAAACTGGTGAGTAGATCTTTGCAAGCGTGTACTCATGAGCAGAGTACGTGCCACACAGATGTCCGTACGCGTGTGTGGATAGATGTTTTTCTACGTTTGCAACCGCTCAATCAGATCACCATTTACAAAGAATCAGAGGGACAGAGAGGTTAACTCGCCTGTCGGGCGTCACTACAGCTATCTAAATAGCAGGGCCATAATTCGATTTGGGTCTGGCTGTCTTTATGTTTCTCTCCGTGTTCGTGGGGAACTTTAGGTTTCACCTTTCCTTGTCAAACTCTGGAGTCCAGCGAGCTCCGCGCTGTGCTGGGCAGGGCAGGACGGCTGTGTTCTGACTCTGCTGAGTGGCAGGGGTGGACCAGAGGTGGACCAGGCCTGGGTGGCAGCCTGGGGGGAGGTGTCCTCAGCAGAGGGGGCTCCGGGGAGGAGAAGGCCATACCTCGGAAGCAGAAGGCGTGGTGTCGTGACAGCGGGTCGGGCAGGCCGGTCTGGTTGGGGTAGAGGTAGACGGTCCTCACGCCCGGCTTGTCCCCGCCGCAGGCGGGCCTCGGGGTCACGATGGGGTAGCGCAGGCTGCCATCTGCCAGCCAGCCGGCGTAGCACTTGTCCAGGCCGCGGCTCCAGGCGGCGTACAGCTGCCCGGTGGAGGCCAGGGTGGCGTTCTGGGACTCGCAGAAGGCCACGGCTTCCTGGAAGGTGAACTGCTCCAGACGAGTGACAAAGAACACCTCCCCTGGGGACAGAGGCAGCCCTGTGACCCTCCAACACCTAACCTCGCCCGGTGCAGGGATGCTGGCGGGGGCAGGGCTATGCCACCACGGCCCCGCCCCTTCCAGGCCCCGCCCACTTCCACCTCTGCTCCTATAGGTCATCTCCACTCAACCACGCCCACCAGGCCATGCCCCCACAGGACCACTCCCCTTCCAGGCCCCGCCCACTTCCACCTCTGCTCCTTAGGCCATCTCCACTCAACCACACCCACCAGGCCATGCCCCCCACAGGCCCACGCCCCCACAGGCCACACCCACAGCCACCTCTGCTCCTATAGGACATCTCAGCTCAACCACGCCCACCAGGCCATGCCCCCCACAGGACCACGCCCCCACAGGCCACACCCACAGCCACCTCTGCTCCTGTAGGACATCTCAGCTCAACCACGCCCACCAGGCCATGCCCCCCACAGGACCACGCCCCCACAGGCCACACCCACAGCCACCTCTGCTCCTGTAGGACATCTCAGCTCAACCACGCCCACCAGGCCATGCCCCCACAGGACCACGCCCCCACAGGCCAGCACACTACAACTTCTATAGATCCTCATCTCCATTCAACCACGCCCCCATGTCATGCTCCACCAAAGGCCACGTCCCCACAGGCCACACCCACTCCAACTTCTGCTCCTATAGGTCCCCATCTCCATTCAACCATGCCCCCCCCCCCCAGGCTGCGCCCCCTCTAACCACGCCCCACGCCCCAGCCCTAAGATTTCTTGGGACCCTGTGAAATAGGTTGGCCCAAAGGCCTTGGTTTGACCGGGCTGGGCTCTAGACTTTTCCGAGACTCAGGACAACCCTTCATTAAAAGAAAATAAAAAGGCAGTGTCACCAGCCAGCTGGGCAGAGGTGGCCACAGGGACCTGTCCTCTCTGCCCCTCCCCTTCTTCCTGCATTCTCCAGTCATACCTAAGCCTACCCAGGCGGCTTGTCTGGATGCCCCCTGACCCCCTGTCCCAGGTAGACAGACAGCCCATATCCTGGCTGCTGCAGACCTGTCCCAGGTCCCCCGTGGGCTCACGCAGGCAGAGCCAGGGCTTCTGGGAGTTAGGAAGAGGGAGGCTCACATTTCACTTCTACCCAAGACCTATTTGCGCTGTCAGGTCCCATAGGTCCCATTGGTCTCATCTGCAGCTCAGTGAGGACTCAGAGAAGCCTTTGGTGTGGGTGGGAAGCAGATAAAGGTCTGTGGCTGGGGAAGAGCCAGATTAGACAGCTAAGGAGGGTCTGTCTCACTGCAGGACTTCTCAGGGCCTTTGCTCTGCTCCGAAGCCCTGGGACAGCAGGAAGCTGATGTTTACACCGAACGGATGGACTGACCCACCGAACTCGCTGCTTGTTGAAGGAGCCGGTATCCCCTGCTCTGTTGGGGATCCCACAGGGCAGAGGGGCTTGAGCTGAGGGGGGCATGCACCCCCTCTCTATCTCCCCTCTGAGGCCCCGGCCCATGCAGGGACCAGCCCGGGAGAAGGGGGTCCGTACCCTGAAGCTCCGCCACGTAGCAGTACACGTCGTAGGTTTCCGATGACGGCCGCACGCCGTAGGTCCTGACCCCGGGGCTGCTGTCCTTGTCGCCCACACATGGGGTCCGGGGGCTGACAATGGGGTACCTGCAGCAGCGGAGGGGGGAACAGAGGCGGGGGGGTGTGAGATGGCTGTGGAGGAGGGGGCTGGGATCTCTGGGAGCTGCCATGTTTATGATCATAAATGATGGACGGCGGGGTGGGATTTGAACCGGGGAGCACCCCATGCAACAACTATCTGAGATGGGAAATGGGGAGGGGGAGCCCCTGGCGTTGGCAGGGGGCTTGGGCGGGGGTCTCCGGAGCACCACACAGCCCCAGCAGCGCCCAGTGTGTCTGAGGAAAGAGGTCGGACTCACCTGACCGTCTGGTCCCGCAGCCAGCCGGCGTCACACTGCTCGTAGCCCGCCTCGTAGGCCGCCTGCAGCTGCTCCGGCGAGGCCATGGCGGCCCCCGTGCGCAGGCAGGCCTGCCCGGCCTCCTCGAAGGTCAGCGAGTAGCGCGTGGACCCCGGGCGGTAGTGGAACACCACCCCTGAGTGGGGAGCCGAGGGAGATGGAGTGAGGTTGGCTTGCCGTGCCCTGGGGTGGGTCTATGCAATGTCCCCCCCACGGGACAAATAGGATTCATCCTGGCAGGTGGGCGACCGCTCAGCAAGGGCGTGTGCCCCAAAGCCTCCCTCCCCACCTGGAGGCCACGCCAGAATGTTCTTCCTGGGTACAGGCTCATGTTCGAGGAGCAGCTAGACTCTGTGGTGATACCCCAACTTTCCAGACATTACTGAGTGAACGGAACACAGCCATGGGGCAGGAAGAACTTTCTAGAAAAAGGGTCTATACCAAGCTTTATGGTTTTTTGTTTTGGTTTTTGGTCAGTCGTGGGGCTTGAACTCTGGGCCTGGGCGCTATCCCTCAGCTCTTCACCTCAAGGCCAGCGTTCTACCACTTGAGCCACAGCACCACTTCTGGTTTTCTCTGAGTGGTTTATTGGAGATAAGTGTCTCATGGACTTTACTGCCCAGGCTGGCTTTGAACCCTGATCCTCAGATCTCAGCCTCCTGAGCAGCTAGGATGACAGGAGCTGTGAGCCACTGGTACCCAGCTGTATTTGGTCGTTGTTGTTTGTTCTTTAACTTTTTAAGACAAGGTATTGCTAGGTAGCCCAGACTGTGCTGGGATTCAAAGTCCTCTCGCTTTAGCCTCCTAAGTGCTGGGATTACAGGTGTACACTGCTCTGCCTGGAATCCAGTCAGGCTCTGTGAGCCATTGGAGTCCTGCGCCCTCTGCCCGGCTTAGCTCCCGTTGGCCTAAGTTAGCCGCAAACAAGTCAAGGGGTTTGGCTCTGCATTTGCAGACACTGAAATCTGACGTTCGCATCATCTTCCCTGTCACGAAGTATCGTTCTTCTTCTGACTTTGTGCCCCACCGGCCGCCCCACGTGCCCCAGTGTCCGCCCCGCATGGCACTCACCCCCCGATGAGCCAGGCTGTCCTGGAAGCCCGGCTGCGCCTGGTCCGACGGTCACCTGTACCACGGGGTCCTGGCTGGTGAAGGCCGTGGCGGGGCCCAGCCCGGGCGTGGATTCTTCTGGAAGGTCCCAGGGCCTGGTGGCCTCAGGGGCGACCGGGAAGGGGGCGTCGGGCTCCGGGGTGGTGGGGGAGAGGTGGAAGAGGGGCTTGGCGGTGAGGATCACGTTGCCCCGGGCCTCCCCCTCCGTGGCATTCCCGGGCAGCGGCAGCTCCAGGTCCGGCCAGGTCACCGTCTGTACGGTGATGTCCTCCTCGCCGCCCAGTCCGAAGAAGTTTTCAGGGATGTCCAGGAAGTCTTCACCTGGGGCAGGGGGCGGGGCCGAGCCTTAGCCTGGCAGCCTGGGATTGGCTGGAGCAGGAAGTTCCTAGCTCCAGCGAAATGGCCAAAAGCCTCAAGTGGGGCTGTGGCTCAAGGGGTGGAGCGCCAGCCTCGGGTGAAAAAGCTCAGGGACAGCGAGCGCCGGGGCCCTGAGTTCGAGCCCCAGTACTGGAACAACAACAACAGCGACAAAACCAAGTCTAACTTATCAAAGGAAGGTTCTGGTTCCACCTTTTCTGATTCTTTCAGTAATGCGTTGGCCTTCTTTTATTCACATTATTCATAATTAATCATTATTATTGATTACCTGCCATACCGGGGCTTGAACTCAAGAGTCTGGTACAGAAAGTTCACCACTTACACCCGGTCCCCAGTCCTTGTTTATCTTTATTATTTATTTTTGTGGGTTGTGGGGCTTGAACTCTGGGCCTGGGCGCTGTCCCTCAGCTCTTCAGCTCAAGGCGAGCGCTCTACCGCTTGAGCCACAGCGCCACTTCCAGTTTTCTGAGTGGTTCATTGGAGATAAGAGTCTCATGGACTTTCCTGCCTGGGCTGGCTTTGAACTGTGATCCTCAGATCTCAGCCTCCTGAGTAGCTAGGGTGACAGTCGAGAGTCACTAGTCGCTGGCGCTGTATTATTTTTTTTACATGGGGTCTTGCTTTTGTCTACAGCTGGTCCTTGACTTCCATCCTCTTCCCTTTGCTTCCTACGTAGCTGGGGCCACAGACCTGTGACACCACACATTGTTAAGATGGAATCTTTCTTTTCTTTTCCTTTTTTAAACCCAGACTGGCTTTGAACTGGGATTCTCCTGAGGACCTGGGATTACAGGTGTGCACTACCCTGCCCAGTCCTCCTTTCAACACATTCTATTCAAAAGGGCAGGTATCAGCGGCCTCCCGTGGGTGAGGGCACGCGAGGCTGGGGCTCCGGCTTTCCCAGGGTGGTGGGGATGTGGGGACGGTCAGCGATCCACACTGAGGACCCGCAGGATCCACACTGAGGCTGCGAATCCCCGCCCTCCCCTCACCTGTGTAGCAGATGGCATCGTAGCGGGACGAGGGGTCGGGGTAGCCGGTCTGGTTGGCGTGCAGGTAGACGGTCCTCACGCCCAGCAGGTTGCCCCCGCAGTTGGGCCGGGCTTTGGAGATGGGGTAGCGCACGCTGCGGTCCGCCAGCCAGCCCGCACTGCACACGTCCATGCCGCCCTGCCAGGCCAGGTAGAGCTGGCCGGTGGTGGCCAGCCGGGCGCCCAGCCGGCGACACTCGCTGGCCGCTTCCTGGAAGGTGAACTTCTCTGGGGACGTGGCGTAGAAGACCTCGCCTGGGGATGATACGGGTGGTGGGTGCGGGTGTCCTCTCCCTCCCCGTCCTGCTCCGGCCAGGCCCCCTGGTTGAGCCCAGGCCCTAATCCACATACCCCAATCTCAGAGCTCACCCCTCACGTCCCGCTTTCTGGGTTTGGGGCAGGATGACATCAACTATTTGTGTGTGTGTGTGTGTGTGCATGCACGCGCTGTGTGTGCCCGTGTGCCCAGTCCTGGAGCTTGAACTGAGGACCTGGGCGCTGTCGCTGAGCTTCTTTTGCTCAAGGCGAGCGCTCTACCACTTGAGCCACAGCCCCATTTCTAGTTTTCTGAGTGGTTCATTGGAGATAAGAGTTTCAGGGGCTTTCCTGCCTGGGCTGTTTTGAGCTGTGATCCTCAGATCGCAGCTTCCTGAGTAGCTAGGATGACAGGCGTGAGCACTGGACCAAGAGCAGGAGGAAAATCTCCCTGGCTCAGAACCATCCACGCCCAGCCTCGTGCTGTACCCAGTCCCACCAGGAGGGGGCGGTCTTGCGACCAGAGCAGACCTCCCACTGGGGATGGAACCCCGGCCTCCTCCGGCATGCTAAGCAAGCGCTCTACTATTTGAGTGACTCCCTCAGCCCTTCTGCTTTTCTTCTGTTTTCCAGACAGGGTCTCCCCCATCACCTGCATCCACGTCTAGCCTTGAACTCACGATCCTCCTGCGTCAGCCTCCCAGGTAGCTGGGATTACAGGCATGCACCACCACACCCGGCTAAAGCAGAGGCGGGCTGGGGGTGGGAGGCCTCACCCTCCATCTCCTCCGCAAAGCAGTACACGTCGTAGGTCTCGTTGGTGTCTCGGATGCCGTAGGTCCTCACGCCGGGGAATTCGTCCTTGTCTCCATAGCAGCCTTCCCGGGGCGTGTGGATGGGGTACCTGCCAGGAACCCCCAGTGGGGTGTGACGCGGGATGTGGGGGGCTGCTTGGAGTCTGTGTTCATAGTCATTCATGAGGACTGCGCATCAGCACTGAAGGCGGTCCTCGGGACTGAGCATCAGTACCACACTGGGTCTACCGGGACCAGATAGTAACTACATGATCGTGGGCCACTAAGGCCTAGAAATGACCACTCTGCTACTCTATGGAATGAAGCCGACCCAGCATGCAAACCAAAGTGGCGCTGTGCTAATAAAACTTTATTCAAAGGAACAAAGGATGGGCAGGACTTGGCCCGTGGGCAATTGAGTGCTTGTTGGCCTGTGCTCAGGGTCACTAAGTCTCCTTGACCACATGAGGCAGATGCTGTACCCGTGTGTGTGTGTGTGTGTGTGCTTGCGTGTGCCAGCATGCTAAGATTCCGTCTCGGCTCTGTTGTCTGGCTGTGTGTGTGCGCGTATGGCTGGTTTGTGCGTAGACGCTCTCCTGTGGGAGGCCTGGGGCGGTCCCCGCTCTCCTCCCCGCGCCCAGGCGGGCTCACCTGACGGTCTGGTCGGCCAGCCAGCCGGCGTCGCACTGGTGGAAGCCGTCCTCGTAGGCGGCCTGCAGCTGCTCGGCCGTGGCGATCACCGCGCTGTTCTGCAGGCAGGCCCGCTGCGCCCGGTCGAAGTCCAGCGTGTAGCGCGTGGAGATGGCGCGGTAGTGGAACACGATGCCTGCGGGGAAGCCCCGTCAGGCACCCGCTCGGCCTGCCCCGGAGGAGGCCGGGGACCTCAGGCACTGCCGGGGCTGGGGTCCCCCTGGAGGTGAGAGGGGGAGGCCCACAGCCCACCGGGCGTTCCTATTTGGGGATCACAGGACACCAGAGCCTGCTGGGCACCCCGAAGCACCAGTTCCAGGCCCAGCTCTGGGAGACCGGGCTGGGCCCGGTGTGCATGCCCCTCTCCCCTGCGCCCCTCACCTTTGACCACCACCTCCAGGGTGGCCTCGCTGTCCGCGATGCCGTGCGTCACCTCGCAGCGGTAGACGCCCGAGTCGTTGGAGCGCAGGCTCTGGAGCTCCAGGGTGGCGTCGCTGGGGATGGCGGGGTAGTTGGGCAGCGAGACCTTGTCGTGGTAGGCGCTGTGGACGCGCACGCGGCCCTCGGTGGCCACCAGCAGCACCACCTCCTCCTCCTTCCACACGCGGCTCCACTTGATCCTCGGGGCGAGCGCAGCGGTGAACGGGGCGGTGGTCACGGGGTGCGCGGGCTCGATGAAGTAGCAGGGGATGGTGAGGGAGGAGCCCAGGAGGACCCGCAGCGGGGATGGCTGCGGGATGCTCACGCTCAGCGCGTTGTCATGGTCTGCGGGGGGAGGGCACACAGCCGTCAGGGACCGCCCTAGAGAGGCTCCCCGGGGAAGCCGGGTGGGCTTCTAGAAGTGTTGCTCCCCGGGGAGGCCGGTCCACGATGGGCTGTGTGGTACGGGAATGCCCGGAGAGCCATGTCCTCCACCACCCCGCTGCGGGTGGTGATGCACGCCTGTAATCCCAGCTCATCTGGGAAGCACAGGTCTCGGGTGAGGGGGATCACAGTCCACCAAAATCAGTCTTGCCGAGAGCAAAGAAAAAATATGGCGCTGGGCAGAGGGGTGCGTGTGCAATCAAAACACGAGATCCAGTCTGAAAAATGAACCAGCAAGCGTAAAGCCCTGAGTTTAAACCCCTGAAGACAGAGAGAGAGACAGACAGACAGACAGACAGACAGAGGCAGAGAGTGAGAGAGAAGAGAAAGAAGAGAGAAGGGGGGGGAAACAGAGGACAACCTAGGCAGAAAGGTCCTACTGGAGACGCATCTCCAGTGAACCAGAAATGGAGCTGTGGTTCGCGTGGTAGAGCGCTCGCCTTGAGCTGAACAGCCCAGGGACAGCGCCCAGGCCCCAAGTTCAAGTTCCATGGCTGACAAAACAAACAAACAAACAAAAGAAAGAGCAGGTGCTGGTGGCTCACACCTGTCATCCTAGCTACTCAGGAGGCTGAGATCTGAGGATCACAGTTCAAAGCCAGCCCGGGCAGAAAAACTCTGTGAGACTCTTATCTCCAATAAACCACCAGAATACTGGAAGTGGTGCTGTGGCTCAAGTGGTAGAGCGCTCGCCTTGAGCTGAAGAGCTGAGGGACAGCACCCAGGCCCAGAGTTCAAGCCCCACCACTGACCAAAAAAAAAAAAAGAGAGAGAGAGAAAAGAAAAGAAAGAAAGAAAGTAAAGAAAATACGTTCAACACCAGCCACGCGTCATTCCCTCTGGGTATTTCCCTCTTCCCTCGGTCCTCCCTGGGTCAACATGTGGCAGGGGTTTGAGTGAGGCCTGGGACCTGTGTGCGTACGCATGTGGGTGTATGCACGTGTGCATCGCAGGATCATGTGTGCAGGACCATGAAAAGGCCAGGAAAAGGAGTGTGTGTGTGTGTGTGTGTGTGTGTGTGTGTGTGTGTAAGTAACTGTGTCTCTGTATGAAGCAGCACTAGGTTCAGTACCCAGAACTGAGAACCCAGCACTCAGGGCCTACGCGGTGCTGTCCTCACCTGGCATTTCCTCTGCCCTGGCTGCCGCGAGGACCCGCAGAGTCACGAAAACCAAGAGTAGCGTGGTCATGGTTCACCTGCAAGAGCGGCGGCGGCGTTAGCTGTGTGCTGAGCTGCAGGGAGGCGACCTCTGACCCCCGACCCCCGGTGCACCCTGACCGACTTACGGGGGGGGGGAGCTGCAGGGGTCCACCAGGCCTCTGTCCCTCCCCAGACCTGTCCCCCTCCAGGTCCTCGGGTCTCCTGAACCTTAAACCCCATGGAGCAGATGGGGCTTTCCCCAGGGGTGTCGGCCTCCGTGGGACAGGAGGGAAGGAATCCCTCCTCCCGGAGCACTCTGGAGCCGGGACGCTGCTGGGCTGTGGCCCGTCCTCATAACCCGGGTGGGGGCGCCCGTACTGGCTGGGGGGCGGCTGGGATCACTGGTGTGAGGAGGGACAGGGGAGGAGACCATGCTGCCTGCTGACCTTGCTCTGTCCCCGACCCGTAGCCCACCAGGTGGCGCTGTTGGCCCGGTCACCATTGCTGGGGGACTGGCTAACTTGGGGACACTGGTGTCTCCCTCTGGTGGGGGAGCAGGCTGGGACGAGGGGGGGAGCTCAGGAGCCCCTCTCTTGCCTCTGCCCCACTCGAGTCCCATGCGTCCGTGTTGGGCACGGGGGGGGGACGTGGGGGGCGTCCCATGCCAGTCTGGAAAATTCCCAAGTTCCCAGAAGGAGCCCCGGCTCTCTCCCAGGGCTGAGCTCCTGGTGTAAAGCTCAAACATGTCCCGGGCTGGCTCCCGAGGGTGAGCGCGAGGGGCTGCGGGGTGGAGGGCCGGCGGCCAGGGCTGGGAGAGCAGAGGGGGTCCCTGTGGGGGCCCGGGGGGGGGCGGGTGGGAGATGGAGGCGCCCCTCGGGGCCGGGCTGGGACCCCCTACATCCCCCCTTGGAGCCTCGGGGCCGGAGGCAGACACAGGGCGCTGTTCATCCTAGACCGCCCTTCGCTGGGAAGTTGTGCACACACGTGTGTATGTGTGCACGCACGTGTGGAGTTGTGTTTCTTCTCTCCCGCTCCGAACAAGCTGGACATTGTGTGTGGGGATGCAGTGCGGTTCTGTTTTTTTTTTTTTTCTTTCCCTCCTCCTTGGCCTAGACCAGGAAACGGGAGGGCAGCAGGGGGGGCTGGGGTCCTGGGCAGCAGGGGGGCTGGGGTCCTGGGCAGCAGGGGGGCTGGGGTCCTGGGCAGCAGGGGGGCTGGGGTCCTGGGCAGCAGGGGGGCTGGGGTCCTGGGCAGCAGGGGGGGGCTGGGGTCCTGGGACGGGGGGGGGGGGGGGGAGAGGCGTTGGTAAGACCGGGCAGAGAAGTGGCATTTTATGTCTTCTTTCTGGAAGACCAACTTTGGGATGGCCAGGCGGCCATAAATACGTTCTTGTGCGTGTGTGTGTGTGTGTGTGTGTGTGTGTGTGTGTGCGCGTGCGTGTGTGTTTTCTCAGCTGTAAAGAAAATAGGGAGAAATTCCATTCTGTCTGGGCTCCCAGCGTCTCGGGGACTCACTGCGGCTTTTATTCGCGGGGAGACTGACTGCCGGTCCCAGACGGGCGGACAGACAGGGCGTCTTTCTCCCCGGGCAGCAAAGCAAAGCGAGGTGGAGGCGGGCAGGGCGGGGCTGGGGAGCGCAGGGGGGGGGGGGAAGCTGTCATCTTAGAGGCGACCAATGAGGAGGCTGGGTGTGTTCCTGTGCGAGTGCGGCGTGCACGCGGTGGATGTCCCTGTGTGTGCACAGGTGTGTGCATGCGTGCGCTCGGCCTTGAGGGAGACCCGCAGGCCCTCAGCCTCAACCTGGGGCTGGGAGGGGAGGCTTTGGGCTCTGGGGGTGAGGGTTGACTTGAAGAGGACTTTCCAGAACATTCCTTTCATGAACAGCACCAGGACATCGGGAGGAAAGGGATGCCTGCCATGCTCTGTGGGACCCCGGCGCCACGAGCGTTTGGTTCGCTTTCCTTCTCGTCTTTTCCATGGGCATCTGCTCGGCTACTGCTTTAGTTCCTGTGATCCCCCCCCCCCGCCCCCCAGTCCTGGGGCTTGAACGTGGCCTGGGCGCTGTTCCTGAGCTGCTTTTGCTCAACTAGCACTCTACCACTTGAGCCACGGCACCACTTCTGGCTTTGTCTGTGTATGTGGCATACAGGAATGGAACCCAGGGCTTCAGGCCTGCTAGGCGAGCACTCTGCCACGGAGCCACCTTCCCAGCCCCTGCTTTCCATGTCTTTGCATCCCCTTTGCTTTGCCGTGGGACGCAGTGAGTGAACGGACGGAGCCGTGGAAGGTTGGAGAAACCCCGGTGCACACCAGTTTCACAGGAGCAGAAACGGAGGCTAAGGACCACACAGATGGTGGACGGTGGAGCTAGAACCAGTCTGGGGACCGGCCCCCCACAATTCCCAGTGCCCGGGGGCTTGGTTGGGCGGTGCCCGTGTCTGTCTCTTTGCCCACCATGTGCTAGTAACCCTCTGGGGTTCCCGAACGAATCAGCAGCGGAGTGTCTTACCCTGCCGAGGGTTGGTGGTGTAGCTTACGCCTGTAATCCCAGCTGCTCAGAAGGCTGAGGTCTGAGGATCCCTATTCAAAGCCAGCTCAGGGAAGCTCGTGAGACTCTGATCTCCAACTGACCACCAAAAAGCCAGAAGCAGTGGTGTGGTTCGAGGGGGCAGAGCACCAGCTCAGGGGCAGTGGCCAGGCCCTTCAGTCCCGCCTCCTGGGGGAGGGGGTTGGCAGGGAGGGGGGGCAGTTCCGTATGGCATGTGCCGTAGAAGCTCACGCTGTTCTCTGAGGAACAGCCTTCCACCCCTGGGCTCCAGGGAAGCCGCGCCGTGGGGCGCACCTGTGGCTTGCATTTGGGGGTACAGGGAGAGTCTGCACCCCGGCACGGCATTATGACTGCGTTTTCCTTCTTCTGAGTGTGGCTTCCCTGGGAGTGGTGTGTGTGTGTGTGTGTGTGTGTGTGTGTGTGTGTGTGTGTGTGTGTGTGTGTAAGAGCCGGGGGCAGAGCACCGCGTCTCTAGCCGGGGAGTGACGGCTGCTCTGTTCGGGTCACTGTTCTGTGTCCCCGGGACCGGGGCTCTGAAGCCCGAGGCCGCAGGCCCGCCCAACCCCCACGCTGTGATCCTCAGATCTCAGCCTCCTGAGTAGCCAGGGTGCACCAGCGCCCCGCGGACACAGCCCCGGGGACCAAACAGCGCGGAGGACTGGGGTGTTAGACCCCGGGGTGGGAGTGAGGGTGGGGGTGAGGGGGGGGTGTGAGGGTGGGTGTGAGGGTGGGTGTGGTGTGAGGGTGGGGGTGAAGGTGAGTGTGAGGGTGGGGGTGAGGGTGAGGGTGGGGGTGAGGGTGGGGGTGAGGGTGAGGGTGGGGGTGAGGGTGAGGTGGGGGTGGGGGTGAGGGTGGGGGTGAGGGTGGGGGTGAGGGTGGGGGTGAGTGTGGGGGTGGGGGTGAGGGTGAGGGTGAGGGTGGGGGTGAGGGTGGGGTGAGGGTGGGGGTGAGGGTGAGGGTGGGGGTGAGGGTGGGGGTGAGGGTGAGGGTGGGGGTGGGGGTGAGGGTGAGGGTGGGGGTGAGGGTGGGTGTGAGGGTGAGGGTGAGGGTGGGGGTGAGGGTGGGGGTGAGGGTGGGGTGAGGGTGAGGGTGGGGGTGAGGGTGAGGGTGGGGGTGAGGGTGAGGGTGTGAGGGTGGGGGTGAGGGTGGGGGTGAGGGTGAGGGTGGGGTGGGGGTGAGGGTGAGGGTGGGTGTGAGGGTGAGGGTGAGGGTGGGGTGTGAGGGTGAGGGTGAGGGTGGGGGTGGGTGTGGGTGTGGGGGTGGGGGTGAGGGTGGGGGGTGAGGGTGGGGGGGTGGGGGTGAGGGTGGGGGTGAGGGTGGGGGTGGGGGTGAGGGTGAGGGTGGGGGTGAGGGTGGGGGTGAGGGTGGGGGGGTGAGGGTGGGGGTGAGGGTGAGGGTGGGGGTGGGGGTGAGGGTGAGGGTGGGGGTGAGGGTGAAGGTGAGGGTGAGGGTGGGTGTGAGGGTGAGGGTGGGGGGTGAGGGTGAGGGTGAGGGTGAGGGTGAGGGTGAGGGTGGGGGTGAGGGTGGGGGTGAGGGTGAGGGTGAGGGTGGGGGTGGGGGTGAGGGTGGGGGTGGGGGTGAGGGTGGGTGTGGGGGTGAGGGTGAGGGTGAGGGTGAGGGTGGGGGTGAGGGTGAGGGTGGGGGTGAGGGTGGGTGTGGGGGTGGGGGTGGGGGTGAGGGTGGGTGTGGGGGGTGAGGGTGGGTGTTGAAGGTGGGGGTGAGGGTGGGTGTGGGGGTGGGGGTGCGGGTGAGGGTGGGGTTGGGTGTGGGGGGTGAGGGGTGGGTGTTGAAGGTGGGGGTGAGGGTGGGGGTGAGGGTGGGTGTGGTGGTCCTGAGGGTGGACTCGTGGGTGAAGGGGGCCGCCCTCCTCCTCCGTAGGAGGCGCCCCCGCTTCCCAATCACTGACCAGATGCTCCTTCTCTACCAGCGAGGACCCGCCCTTCCTGCCCCGCCCCGCCCCTGCCCTGCACCTTGGGGTTGTTTTTCCCTGCATTAATTTCAGACTCTCTGTCAACACCACGCCTGATGGACAGAGGGTTCTGGAAGGGAATGTCCCCCAGCCCGAGCTTCCCGACGGGACCCTGGGCCAAGCTGGCCTGGCTCACGGAGGGGTCAGGGTCGAGGGCCAGGAGACAGCGGCCTAGGCCTGAGCTCCAAGCGAGCTGCCCGCCCCGGCCCTCAGCCCTGCCCAGGGCGCTCGCTCCCTCCCTCCTTCCTCCCCCTCCCCCGCTTCCCTCTCCCTCCCTCCCCCCTCCCTTCCCCACTCCCCCCTCCCTCTCTCCCTCTCCCCCTCCCTCCTTCCCTTCCTTCTTTCCCTTCCTCCCTTTTCTTTCAGTCTCCCTTCCTCCCTCCCTCCCTTCCTTCCTCCCTCCCCCCTCCCCTTCCCTCTCTCTCTCCCCCTCCTTCCCTCCCTTCCTTCTTTCCCTTCCTCCCTTTTCTTTCTTTTCCTTCACTCTCCCATCTTTTCTTCCTTCCTTTCCTTCATTCTTTTATTCCCTCCCT